AATTATATCACATATTCCTGTCCCAGGAACACGGCACTTAAAAACGTATTTTGTGGTCAGTTTTATGAGAGTGTCAGCTGCAAGACAAAAAAGAAAAAGAGGAATAATGCCTGATATTGGCCACACTTGCAAACTTAGCCGGAAGGTTTACTTGGCTTCTGCTACATTGCTCACAATCCCCCAATTCAGGGGGATACACTTCAAATACTGTATGACAAGGTCCAGCTACACTGGTAAGTGTGGGCAATTTCAGCCACTTCTCCGTGGTTGTTTTTTGCTCCATTTTCTTCACAGCTGACACCTTCATGAAAGTGACCACAAAATTTGTTTTTTGTGCCATTTTTTCTTGGGGTCGGAATATGTGACATAATCACCACGCATGACAATGATATGCGGCATCCTGATCCTCTTTTGACTCCCCCCTCCCCAACACCTCTTGCTAGGGCTGGGTGATATAAAATATATAGACCTGACATCCAGTTGAAAAGCGGTTCTTAACTTAAGAGTCCAGGCCTTTTTGGGGCACTAAATTATTTTGCACATTTTCTGCTTTGCGTTTTTCTACATTTTCATTTGCTCTCCCTTTTCCACCACTACCGTTGAAGAACTAATCCATTTTTGTCATTGCATTTTGGTCTGGTTGCCACCAGTCTCATATTTAGAGTTGCAACCTGTCCCATATGTTTATGGGATCATCCCATATTGAAAAAGTAAAATTCTGTGTTCCATTTTGAACCAATGCGGGATGTAATTTGTCTATTTTGTGATTTGAATTTAGAGATCAATGGTCGTTGTTGACACACCACAGTGAAATGTGTCCTCTGCATTTAACCCATATGCAACAATGTGACATGGCAGGGGGCAGCTAATTCAGTGACCGGAGAGCAGTGCTTGGGGGCAGTACCTTGCTGGTTGGGGATTTGAACCTGCAATCTTTCAATTACAAGTGTGCTTCCCTAACCGTCAAGCCACCAATGCCCACATTTGCCCAAATTTTATTGTGGGGAACCCAGGGGGATGTCTCATATTTCTGCAGATTGAAAGTGGAAACTTTAATTACTGGTGTCTGCACCTTCAAGTGCTCGTATTCTGTATATTCTACTCGATGACAATGCTTCAGATCGTCAAGCAGGTTGTGAGTACTTCATTTTATTTGGCACAAGTTTTCGGAAGAGTTTATAATACATACTATTCTTCATGACTCTCACGACCACCCTGGAATTATGCTGTGACCCACAAAGGGGTTGCAACACTCAGGTTAAGAACCCCTGTTCTACTGGATATCATTGCTTCAGGGGATGAAGTGGGTTCACAGTATTTCCAGTTTTAAGTAGCACAAGTTTTTGCTTGTCTGAGTTTAAATTGCCAAAGTACCACCACACTACCAACATATATTTACCTTGTTTTTGTACAATATCTCCTTATATGTTGTATATGTGAATGGTGTGTGAGTGTGCCCTGCGATGGGTTGGTGCCTCATCCTGGATTGTTCCTTGCCTTGCGCTTGTAGCCCCCAGGATAGGCTCTGAACCCCCTGCGACTGACCAGGATAAGCGGTTTTAGAAAATGGATGGATGTATGGATAGATGTTGTATATGTTGTACAAGATGTTGTGGCTGCTGTGCCGTCACTTTCTTCACCGACACTTAAAGTTTCCTCTGAGAGAGCACTCATCTCTTCTACAATTTTACCAAAACAGTAGCATATGGCATGCTCTGCTAACTCAATCAACATACTGCAGTGAGTTTATAGGTTGACCTGTTCTTTAAGACTATCACATGATTAGTTGGACTTGCATTTGTTCCTGTGATGTACTTATGTGTGCTATAATAGCAATGCTGCTTATAGACAGTTTATCAAAGTTACTCATTTTCTTATTGTTTAAATTTTATTACGATACGTTGATGTATTGTTTATTTCGTTCAGCCCTACTCCTACCTTATAATGCCAAAGAAAAATTATGGCAACATTTATGTGAATGTGGGAGGGGGCCATTGTTAAATATGGGACAAGTAGCATTCTGTAATGGTTCAAAACGGAACCGAGCATTTAATTTTCGGACGATCCCTTAAAATACAGGACTGGCGGCAACTCTGCTACAGTAGTGCCCGTCCCCCCCCATATTCGTGGGTTATACGTTGCAAAATCTACCATGGGTGGCTGAAACCGTGAATAATAGCGAACAATCCACAGACCCAATATAATTTTCATAAATATACATATGGTAAAGCTTAAAGCAATGAAAATATATGAAAATATTATCATCTATCAAGGGATGACAGAGCAATGAAAGTCATGCTTTTTATACATTTTAGGTACCACTTCACAATAAGGTTCCCTTTTGCCACTCGTAAATGGTAGTAACTCATTACGAAAAAGAAAACAGTGTTATAACTTGTTTAAAATTGTCTATTAATAATTTACAAAGTGTTACAACCTAAGTAATAATCAGATTATAAACCATTCATAAACCATTTATATGGGTAGCCTTATTGTAAAGTGGCACCCATTTTTATAATATTGACACTGCGCAGCAACAAGTGCGATTAGCGGGAAAGCTCGAGTTCTGCGGGTAAGCGTAGGTATAGGGACATGTACTCGGCTGGTGGATTTCACCATGTCACAGCCTGTACTAGATTTGCTGTTTGAAACTTATGAACCGTTTGAATTGAAGAATTTTATAATTCTTTTTCGGACTTCAGTAAACTGCGGACAACTGAAACTGTGGTTGCTGAAACAGTGGAAATGGGAATCGCTTAAATTTGTATGTCAAACCCATTCCCTGGAACGAAGAATGATGCAGTCAGAGAAAAAATTACTGTCGGCGTTTTCTGGTGCCATGCCCTATTCATCATTAACAAAAATGAAAAATATAAGAAAACATTTAGTAAACTGAAATGAAGTAAGACATGAAATGTCTTTAAAAACTGCAACTAAATGAAAACTATAAGAATTGGTTCCAGTACTAACTGAAATGAACTAAAAACAAATGCTGTTGGTGTTTTAAAATAATGTTTAAATAATGTAATGATCTGTGACGGAAATCAAAAATATTGTTAAAAGGAGTAATCCAGTATACCTGGAACATGTTTTGTCCATTTTCAGTACATATTGTAATGTAAAGTGTAGGATTCTCTCAAGATAAGGCATATAAAATGTCTACAACTTTAAGTCCTTCCAAAGAAACAAAATTACTAAAACTTAAACTAAAATATTTAAAGATTAAATCTTTAAAATAAGAACTAACAAAACGCCACTGAAAACTAACTAAACTGGATTTCAAATGAAAATCATAATACAAAAACAAAAAATAAATCAAAATATGAAAACTATAATAACACTGCATCCTACAATAAAGTTTAAAAGTTTTTTTCAAAAGTAATTTTGTATGATTGATTTATTAGAAATAAATTTCAGTTTGTAATCCATTTAATGTCTTCATGATCTGGATCTGTTTGAAGGGAATTTTAAGCAAAAATGGAGCATTGATGTAAAGAAATAATTCACTATATATATTGTGAAAATTCGTGATATTGATTGATATGAAAAAATTATTGTGATAAAATATTTTGCCTTATCACCCAGCCCAACCTGTTGCCCAACAATAATTTAAAAGCACCCTATACTATTATCTCTTTTTGTTGCCTTTTCTAAAATATGGCTATTTTCTTAATTGCCTACTCCTGTTTATTTGCTATAGTTTGACTAATACGGTCAACTAGTGATAAAATGAAAATTGGGAAAACTTTTATGTGAAATGTAGCATACATTAATCATGACAATTACATGTTGCCAACTATTATTAGCAAAGTTCTAAAATCAAAATGCCAGAAGTGTTACAATACCCCTGCTAGCCACTGCCCCCCTGCTGTGCTCTTACTCAATACTCAGTATATGGTGTGTCCTTTTTTTTTTTTTTTACAGTATTTTGCTGCATCCTCCTCAAAGTGCTTTCTTCCTTTGAATTCATGCTTTCCCTATGTCACTTGGTGTTTTTGCTGTCACTGTTCATCTTTTCTAACATGTTGGATTTCCAAACTGGCTGGCAGATCGTCCTGCGTAATTAGCTGCAATTGAAGGAAAACCGGGACTGTACCACTTGGAGAAGGGATGCTCATTTTCTCCCCTAAATTATTGAAAATAATAGACTTGGTTGCAACCATAGTTTTAGCGCTGTGAGCACATGTGTGTGTTTAGGTTATATGTGGTGGACAGTGGGGGCCTGTGAGTACTCATCTCATGCAGGCAGGATGGCGCAGCAAGGCACTTTAATAAACACAATATTGTTAGCCCATAGTAATCAGCCTGAAATGTTACAGGCCCACTGGGTATTCTACTGATGCTCCCAATTACCACTTCAGCATTGCACCGAGGTCACACTTTCTGCTAATACACAAGCACCATTGTTCAACTGGATTATAGGGAAGGTCAGCTGTTTCACAGGGGGATGAAAGGGGGGCAGAATGGCAAAGAACACAGATAAACTTTTTTTGATGCTTTTTGAAAAAGAATCAGATACATATGATTCTTTTTCCCAAGCCTATGGAAGTGATGGAAATTTGGGCTATAATAAAATAAAAGATGCTCCTGGGCACTTCTGGGTGCTGTTATTGTTCTGTGTGAGGCATGGGCATGGAAGGGAGGGGGACTGATGGATTGAGGGGGCAAGGAGAGGTGAGTAAAGTGCAGGCGAGCGGCGGGTGGCTGGGTAAAGCCTTCCTGCTGTAATCTAATCAGCTCTTGCCACACACAGAGAGCCTTGGCCCCAGATGTCTGTCTCACAGAAGCTCATTGGCAGGGGGGTGGAACACAGGCCCTGCAAATGCCACATTAACTGTAATGCACCTTTCCTCCTTCATCTACTAGACCATCACTCATCTGCAGCACGAGGGAGGGATTTGATTACAAAATGAATAAAACGATCCAACCTCCCACCTCTTAACAAAGAAAATAAAGATGGGTGGTTAATGCTCTCAGCAGTTTATTTTGGCACTTGGAACATCAGTCAGCAAGAGGAACAAGCTTGTGCCTGGTTTTGCTACAGCAATGAAATAATCTGTTTGAGCAAAAACTAGAATCATTCTGTCCAAGTTATTTCTCATTATGTTACATGCTTAACTAAAGAACTTTTGCCAATCTGTCAGTCATGGGTGTAAATATGCACCAGGGAATTACTTATATCATTCTTTCTTGCCTTTTTTGTATACAACCTTTAAGAATGAATTCTGTGTGGAAAAAACAACAGCAAATGAATCTATGATGAGAATCATAACTTTGGATTCAAGGATCAGTTCATATTAACATGTGAACACTGTAATAGTGGATTTTATTTTTATACCTTTATACTCTTATTTGAAATCTTTCTGTTGGTGCATTCAAATCTAGTTACTAGCTATTCTGAAGGAGATACTTAACTAATGCTCGTTAGGCATGTCAGCAGTGACTCCAAGACACATTAATCACTGAAACAAGAACGGGCTGTGATGTATAGTAGGTGTTGAGTGTTGAATCATATGTTATGAAAACATTTTAAAAAAATACATAACCCCCTCAGTAGATTTGCATTTGAAATGGTGAAAGAGTGCAAAGAGTAGAGAGACCAATTCTGATGTTCTTTTAAAGTAGTAGTATTTGAATCTCAATGTCATGTAAAATGTTTGATTTAAGGTTAAAATCAGACTCCCTACTTTTAAAAGCTAGCAAACATTGATTTATTTTTCAGGTAATATGAATAATTCTTTAGATCATTTAATAACTTAAATTTACATAGAATTATGCATAGATTAATGCTATCCTCATGAATTGAATAACAATGCTATTATTTTTCATTTAACAAAAGCTTTCTATTGGTTGTTTTTATAAAATGTTGATAACCTTGTGGTCAATGCCATTGGGCCTAAGTAAGCAAAAACACCTGATGGATGTAGTATACAATACTAAAAGCACAGAGACAAAATCTTTTCTTGACACATTTAAGTCACACAATATGCAGGGCCGGTAAATCCTGTAGGTGACATTGTTCCCTGCCTGGCGTGCCATCTTCTGAGGGGACGCCCACTCAGCAAATCAGCAGCACCACCTCCGTCAACCTTCACTACCGGCAATGAGGCTTGCATAGGGCACCACATGGGCTTCATCCAGCACTAAGAATATGTATTTGGTTTTGCTGTTATTGAGAAAATAAATGAATCAACAGTGAGCCCCAACCTTCACAGAGGACATTTAACTAAACATAAAGTGATAATTTCCTCTCAGGAAAAGGATCTGTAAACGTTGTGTGAACAGTTTGACACCAACGGACAATAGTAAATTTATCACTGCAACCGGGTATTTCAAAAGTAATAAATTTCACCAACAATGTATCATTATTGGTGCGTCACACTGGTGTTTTCAGATGTCAGAGACACAGATACAGAAACCGTATTGACATAGCCTAAGTGAAGCCATTTGTGAAATCTGTCGATGTCATGAAAATCACAGAAATCATGAAGATTGGCCATTTATTTGTATTGAGGCCAGTAACTTACCCAAAGGGCCTGCGACTTATGCTAGTGTTAGACAGCCTACGCATCCTCAGTTGTGTGTCCTCAGTTAACATCACTGATGTCAGGGAGAAATCTGCCAGCTGAATAGAAAAACGTAGCATCTGCAGCTCATTTTTTTCCTTTTAAATCAAATTCTGCTATTCACAATCTGACCGAAGGTCAATGTCAAAATTTTGTTAGTATACATAATTTTACAAGCTAGTGGCCACAAACACTTTACATTTTATTTTCTAGAAAGAATAAAAAATGACAATAGGGTGAAAAACAATCATACATCCATTCAGAGTCATGGGGATCTGGAGCTCATCCAAAGAAGTATATTGTACCAGTCAAGGTAGACCTTAAACTGCACATTAATCACAGGGTAATAACATACATACATTTACAATTCAGCAATCATATGCTAAGACAAATTTAGGATCCAGATCACCAGTACAACCCATCCTTGGACCATAGGAGGAAACTGTAATAGGTTAACCAGTGAATATCCATAAATATAGAAGGGAAGGCAAGCTCTATTTGTGGTATATAATGTCCAATAGTATCTATATATTACATGTGTATATATGATAATCACAACTGATAATGGTTGAGGTTTTAGCAACACAGAAGACAGTATGTTTAAGAAACATTGACTTATACAAATGTAGGAGTAGTTAACAGAGGACTGAGAAAAACTGCAAGTGGTAGAGCTAGAGCTGCATTCATTATCAGAAGACGATAAACAAACACTCAGCCTCTGATGGTGATGAGCAATAAATAAGGTCACTTTGCTAGCTACAGAACACAAATTAATAATTTATCTAACAAAAAATAGCCTGCAGTAAATAAAACTAAAAGAAAGCTAGCATAGATCAGATCCTACTAGTCTGATTTTAAAGACCTAAGGTCAATCTGATACAAATTTTACTAAACTGAACCCCAGGCACACAACCTAGAACCAAATGTTACTTGGTCTACTGCCTGATCTTACCAAAAATGCGAAAGATTATTAACTTATAAAAATCCCAGTATACAGACCATGGGCATAAATTACGGGGGGATAGGGGGATTGTAACCCCCCCCAAATAATCAATACCAGCCAATTCAACCCCCTGGACCCCCTTAAATGGCTGGAGACCTCAACCCACCCCCAATGCTCAATTCAGAGTTATGCCCTTGATACAGACCAATTCATCCATCTGTCAACTGCTTATCCTGAGCAGGCTCACAGGGCGAGCAGATTATTTGGCCTTTTTTCATAGCCAAAGCATAATTATTACAAAAATGCTCCTGAAGAAAGCTACAAGGGATTCATTTTCAAGAAACCAAAGGAAGGAAAGTTTACCTTGCTAGCATTTGATTTTTTGCTCCATAAATTTCATTTTTTTAGATATTTTAGATCATTTTATTTGAGACAACTAAGAGAGAAAATGTCATTACCATCTTAGCTATGCTAATATCTGTAGATGACAGTTGAGTACCTCTCATCTACATTCTCCATCATTTCACATGCAGATTACTTTTAAAGACTCCTAGATCCAAGCTCTTTTTTTGACTTGAACTATTTTGCTGGTTATCTACAGGAACTGGCTCAATGCAGGACTCCAGCTTGTTTTTGCCGTGGTGCTTACTGGGTGCGACAAAAACCAGCCACAATGACACTTTAAACTGATTACTATGGCCTACACCTGCAATAAAAATAATTGGGCAAGTTTGCCAAATTTGTGAATGCAAAGCCATTCCTGACAACTGCTGGCAAAGACAGTAAGAGAGGAGAAAATGTTTGTCAGCAAGCATGTTCAAAATGTATAAGTTTAGTTTTTTTTTACCCAGAAATGTGAAAATAGTTACAATTCCAATCCAGTAACAAAACTGAATACAAGAACTGTGTATTGGTTCATTCTACATCAAAGAAATGCAGATAACTGTGGTTTGTGCACTTTTTAATGTGGACAAAGGAATTGAATCTTCCCAGTTGTACCTCATCCAAACTGTGGTTTGGATATAGTAAATATAGGAAAGTCTGTTTGACCTTGAATTTGCTTTTTAAACAACTGAGTTACAAGCATGAGGCATAGAGTGGAACACAGCTCACAAGAGACAGAATGAAAAGCAAAACACAGAATGAAAAACAAAATACCAAGGAATGATGCGTTATTAAGGTTAGTTTTTCATTTTGGGGGGTCACACTATGTCAAAGCAGTAGATTCTTTCAAAGTTCGCCAAATAGAACATTTACAAGGCCCAAATGCTATTAAAACTTACTAAAATGTTAAATCGTATTTATTTTATCTACAAAAGATGTTGTGATAGCTACATGTAGAAGTGTATGCTACTTGTGCTAAATCATTCTGGTAATCAATGGTTATTAAACAGTACTTTTTACAAGCAAGATACTTTAAAACTTTTTTCTAAAGGATTTAAAATTCAGAAATGAGGTTAATTAGAATTTAGAACAGATGATTTTCTTAATTACAGCTGACAATAAATCAGGCTCACTGAAGATAATTTACTCAAACAAAATGTTAACATTCTGATGCACAATACCTAAACCAGGAGAATACCTGTTTAGTGAGTCCAGCAACATAGTCAAAATCCGCAACAAGCAAAGCAAAGAGATTCCACAGTGAGAGGAGCAAAAAAATATTTCATTACTCTGAGTGCTGTTTTAGTGATCTGGTATTTTTTCATTCAGGTAGATGCATATTATAGAAATTATTATATTAAAAAAAAGGGCAACCTCTGCTTGGTCTCACGTTTCACTCAAATATTATATTAAAAGATTCAAAGAGAATGATTTCTTCAGAAAAATTGCTCCATTGGATTCGGATTGTGTTTTTTATGTGAGTGCTTGAGAAGGGAATATTTCTGGAACATGAAGGTGCACTTTAATTGTCTAGCATAGGTTGATATGTCACATATAATTTGATTGCGGCAACAACCTAGTACCATACTTGAAATTTTGCCTGAGACCCTTGTATTATTTCCGTCAAATTTTATTCAGTCCACTTTATTAAACTGAAATCTACAGCTGTTCTTATTCTTGTCAATTAGATTTGAGTAGCATGGTGTCCTAGACATAAAAAGTGCATTTTTAGTGTAGTTGCGTGGCTTTCAGTGATTTAGCAGAGCATCATTTACAATCTAATCTTTAATAACCCTGCTGTAATGCCATAATGTGGGCATTATTGCTTAGAGTAGAAACAAACCCATCAGTTTATCAGTTTAAGCTGTGCTCCAAAGTGATTAAAGGCTTTGTTATTGAAGGAGAAAATGAACAGAACTCATATTTGTAAAATTGTGAACTAGTGCAAACACCTTTCAAAAGTTCAAAGGTTCTTATTGTCATGTACTCTGCTGCCTGTAGACAGAATAATGAAATTCTTGGCTTCATAATTGATCACAAAATTTAGTAAATATAACCTAGCTGTCACGTCAGCAAGGGCGGAGCCATTCAGGTGCAGCCACTCAGGAGGCAATTAACCTCCTGATATAAGGAGATCTAGAACAACCCGACATTGCGAAGTATTGCGCTCATGTTCCGTGGCCATACTGAGCAATTCTCCTGTCTTCTGTCGACCCGATCACCCATACCTTACCTGTCGGTTCCTTACCTCTCATCCTTCCTCCCACAGCCCAGATCCCGAACATGACCGGCCTGTCCCGCCAAGCCCGGCTCCTCTTGTCTCCCCTTACCTGTGTGGTCTTGTCCTGTCTCTCTTCGTCAGACTGATTCTCCCGGTGACGACCTCCTCTTCCGATCCAAGACCACGAGTACTGCAAGCCTCTCCACGACCACTCCTGCACCCTTCCCTGTGCCGGGGTTTTGCCCCGAGCACTGCTCCCTATCCAAGTCCACGGAGGGAAGATCTGGTGGACGGTGCCTCCTGCTCTGATTACTGGTGTGGTGCACTTTCCTTGAAACGCCCATTAAACCTTTGTCCACCCTGCATTCCTGTATCCTGGTCTCTGTTCCCTTTCTACCGTGACACTAGCAAGCAACTATGAATGACAATGTACAGTGGATATAAAAAGTGTACATGCCCCTGTTAAAATGCAAGGTTTTTGTGATGTAATAAATGAGACACGATAAATTATTAAAAAACTTCCCCACCTTTAATGTGACCTATAACCTATACAATTCAATTGAAAAAACAATCTGTTAAAGGGGAAAAATACGAAAAATAAAAAACATTCAATAAGCTGGTTGAATAAGTGTGCACCCCTAAACTAATACTTTGTTGAAGCACCTGAATTACAGCATTCAGTCTTTTTGGATAGGATTCTATCAGCATGCCACATCTTGACTTGGTAATATTTGCCCACTCTTCCTTGCAAAAGCACTCTTTAGCACAGATTGTGCAAATCTCTTGGGCATAGCCCTCTTCAGGTCACCCCACAGATTTTCAATTGGATTTAGGTCTGGGCTCTGGCTGGGCCACCCCAAAACTTTAATTTTCTTCTGGTGAAGCCATTCTTTTGTTGACTTGGATGTATGCTTGGGGTCACTGTCATCCTGAAAGGTGAAATTCCTCATCTTCAGCTTTCTAGCAGAAACCTGAAGGTTTTGGGCCAGAATTTACTGGTATATGGAACTGTTCAGAATTCCCACAACCTTGACTAAAGCCCCAGTTCCAGTTGAAGTGAAATAACTCAAAAGCATAATGCTGCCACCATGATGCTGTTCCTTTGGTGATGCACACTGTTGTGTCTGTGCCAAACCTACCTTTTGGAATTGTGGCCAAAAAGTTCAACCTTGGTTTCATCAACACATTTTCTCACATGCTTTTTGGAGACTTGATGTCACATGTAGTACACAACCAGTACTTGCCAGAAATTCCTGCAGCTCCTTCAGTATTGCTGTAGGCCTCTTGGCAACCTCCCTGACCAGTTTTCATCTTGTCTTTTCATCAATTTTGGAGGGACGTCTAGTTCTCTGTAACGTCACTGTTGTCCTATATTTTTTCCAGTTCTTGATGACTGTCTTCCCTGTGTTCCATGGTATAGCTAATGTTGTGGAAATGATTTGTACCCTTCTCCTAACTGATACCTTTCCTCAATGAAATCCCTTTGATACTTTGTAAGTTCTCTGCAAACGATGGCTTTTGTTGTAGGACGCAACTGAGTCAATGTCAGGAAAATCCTACTAGGACAGCTGAACTTTACTTTGGGTTAGGGCTGAATGATTCTGGGAAAATATCTAATTGTGATCTTCCTGACAGATATTGCGAGAATGACAGTCACACAAGGACAGCAGGAATTTGTAAAACTATTGTTATGACAGGTTTAAACCCTGGGTCCAACATGCTGTATAATGCATATCCTAAATCGCAGCATTTGTGATTTCCTAATTGCATCGTTTCAAATCTCATTTTCGATTTAAAATCGGAAGAGACTCAGAGGCTCAAGTGGACAGAATAGAAAGAATATGCTGTGCCTTGACAAAGAGACGCCTGTTCTTCCATGAGTGAAAATTTTCTGGAATTTGAAAAATAAAGCAGCCAGTACCAACTAATCAAATAATGACGTTTGCAAATAAATAATGTTTCATTCTTGGTGCCAGTTGGAAGTTTGTTTCATGTTGTGCCTTTAAAAATGGGTCAGTGAGAAGTCTCTCACAATCACAATCACTTTATTCATAAGCATCATAGAACTTGGTGAAACAATAAAATTCTTGTGCCTAATGTTGCACGGTACACCGAAGCTGAAAAAATACCACGACACTCCATCGTTACACACTATACTATTTTCTGTTTTATTATTATAGGTACTTTAAGAGTATTCCCTATGATTTGTGTTGCAGTGCAACAGCAGATCAGCTGGACTTTCTCTCCCACTCCCTGCAGTCAACCATATTTTTTCTTTCACCCTGCAGCTTTCACAGATAGGACAGTAGTGATGGGCAAAATTAAATCAAAGTTAATTTGATTTAGTTTACCTAAAAGGTTCGCTCTGATTGTTCACCAATGTATTCAGTGGCACTTTCTATTTGCATAAAATTGATGAAATAACATTTGTTATTGAACTATAGACTAAGTTTCTCAACATTGTTTGTTAACGATACAAACCTAACAGCTCATCACACAGTTAGCTAATGAGTCCAAGTGCTAACAAACCTTGGTTAAAATCATTTTAAATTATCAAAATGTTGCATCTCTAAAATACAATTGCAACATACCAGAAGTCACTGCACATAGGTTATATACTACACCAGTAGATGGTGTATTTCAGTCACGACCAAGGTATGGCTCTCTCATTCAGTAGCCTATCAGAGTCTCTCGTTCACTGACTCACTCACCAACTCATTCACTCCTTTGGGTCTCTCAACTTGATCATTCCACTTTAGGTGTTTCCGTTCAGTCTCAGGTTTAGTTTCCAGCCAATCATACCTATCATATGCCTCACTGGCCAATAGTCGAGGAGGGAAGCAGCATTCACATCATATTTCTGAGGACAATGGAATAACAAAGAACAAATACTCTCAGGGAAGTGAACATGAGTACATTGTTCCCGTAAGAGACTCATTTCCCACAAATGAATCATTTGCAATTGTCACACCATTATATGAGAGGCATGGCTGCAAGTACAAAGCAGATGAATTAAGTGAAATATGGCATTATTTCACTCATGCTGCCGACAGTCAAGCAAAGCCCACAGGCATCACAAATTTTATTTGTAAAAGATGTTTTAAATCAACGCCGAGCAACGACCCAACACAGTGAACTTGGTAGAGCATCTCACCAATAGACATCACAACTTATTTGAAGAATTTAGACAGTGACAGATTAGTGAATGTGATACAAAACCATTACAAGGCCTGTCCCTCAAATAAAAGTCAAAAAAGCGTGATTTATTTTGTGTCCAGTGAACTGCTTACCACTTCAGTTTGAGAAGCAAGGTTAAGGGCAATGATAAGCTAACTGTTTAATTTATATTCTTTATATTTTTAGGTAATCTTTTAGCTAAGGTAATCATGGCATGCAGTACATTTGTCTAGGTATTCTTTATTAGCAGAAAATGTGCTTAGTAGAGTGCAGACCTCTGCCAAGGATGTGTATTGTAGGTTATTAAGTGATACCTTGCATATTTAAAAAACTGTAAAAAAAAAAAAAAAAAAAGCGGTCAATACTGGATACTTTGTAAGCTTTTATAACTAATAATTGAACTAATAGTTTACAATAATCCAGTTATTGGGGTTTTAAATGTATTAAAACATGTTCAATGGCTTTATAGCTCTATACCTGCAACTGAATAATTTTTTTTGTTAAAACATGTTCAGTATGCTCTCTATCTGTGGCAAAATAGGCTATACTTTATTTAATTTGACTGATATTAACAAAACATGTTATTTATTTAAGGAAAAAAACTATTTCACAGTTCTGTGTTCTGTCATCTATTTATCCATTAATTTTCCTGATGTTTTAGTTTTTTGCTGTGGTATCGTTTAAGTTTCACTAGCGAAATATGTTAAGCAGGTATCGTACTGAAGTCATGATTTTGGTATTGTGAGAACACTATACGTGCCACAGTTGCAGGTAAATGAGGGGACAACGAAACAGCGCAAGACAAAGATATGGGGAGTGGAACAATAATTATGTAATAAATATATTCAGCGCGCACAAGCTCGTGCAGGTCAGTTAAGTGCAAAGACCATTGATAAAACTGCAAACAAATATGAAAACAGTACGCACAAGTGTGTGAACTTCGCCTTTCTTGGTAAGGAACTAGGTTCTTGTGGGGTTAACAGAGGCTTCCTTGAAATGGTAGACCTAGTAAGTTATTATAACACAACAGCAAATAAATTGACCTGCAATTTACCTATAAAACACGTTTAAATGCAATCAAACCAGATTTCTTGTAATGACGAAGATGGGCACAGCACTGTAACATTAACATTACGGCAACCTCACAATTACATGACGAAGTTCAGATAACGAAAATATTCAATAGTACATAACGAACAATAAGCAAGCGGTTTATACTTGTACTTACCGTGAATACATAAAAATATTGTCAACACTTTTTCCTCTTCAGTTCTTGCACCCAGCTAAAAATTAAGAAATTATAACCCTCTAGGCTTTTAGTCACCTTCCTTGAAGAACCAGATAATTCAGGATATATCCTCATTATTTCAACTTTCAATGTGTATGAATCACATCCAATAATACCAGTTTTCTCTTTGTACAGTATGTATGGCTTGCGTCTGACGGAAGCTAATTCACGTACATAAAACACTCCATTATTATGGGTATGCAGCCTTTTACAGCGCCGGCTTAAAGCCATGCATTCTGGTCCTGACGCAATGCATCGTGGTTAGATTTTTTTGTACGACTTCACCCGGCGCTGCAAAACGTCACCATGCATCACCATGTCACATGGTACAAAAACCTCGCGAGAGCAAGACGACGTGACAGATCGTGAAGCGCCTCTTCCGACTTAGAGAGAAATAATCCAACGCACTGTCATTCAACCACGCTTCTTTGTCGGTCAGTACCAGCGAAAATACCGGACTTTTGCTAAACAGGGTTGTGAAAGCAGATACAGGTATAAGCTGCCATTCAAAAACTCATTAGCCAATTGGAACACAGTCCTGAAAAAACCCGCGAGAACGGCAAGAAAAAAAATCTGGCAGCGCAGCAGCAAGACAGGGAGCAACCGATAAATCTGGTAACGTAATTGTAAAGTAGTGATGGGAAGTTCGGCTCAATTAACTGATTCGATTCTTTCGAACTGTCCGTTGTAATGAATCGATTCTATGATTCTTTTTTTTTCGTCTTTTTTTTGCGCCTGACCACATGACTCAACGAATCGTGGGATCGGATAATAAATCTGTCTCGAGGTTACGTTGTTTGACAAAGATAGCGCTGGTATTCAACAAAAATGTTCAGCTTGACTATTCACAAAAAAAAAACAATATATAAAAAGCAGAAAGGGTGTCGATGCTGAATAATTTATGTGTATATATATAGTTCTTATTTTCTTTACTTAAGCCAAATTCATGTGCATGAGGGACTACATCACAGTTAACAATACAACACACATACCCATAAAATGAGCATAAATGAGCATGTTGTGTAAACGTCAAAGTTAATAAATATCTTAGTTTGTTCTTTGATGAAAGACATATATAGTTTTATTATACAGAAATGCAATAATTTACTGTTGTGATAGATGAAGAAGAGCTGCGTTTATTTTTATTCCTTTTAACAGCGTAACTGCATTTCCGCAGTAAATGCCGCGAGGGCTCTTGGGATCGGTTCGCGAACCGTTCGTTTGATTCACCGACCGAGTGTCCGAAAACCCGTAAGTTCGATTCGTTCATCGAACAGGCTCTCGGGTTTTTTGGAGTCAGCGAGTTAGAGACCAGGTACTCGGCCGTTCGGGTGTTCTCAGCACCAGACGGAAAGTACGAACGCAAAAGTGACGAATGTAAGTAACGAACACAAGAATAAACTTAAAAGTGATAAGAAAAGCGCAGACGGAACATAAAAAATAAATCCGAACTCGCGGGGGATGCTTTTGGATGTGGTATAGCCAAAGATCAGTTTTTAAAACGTTTTAAAATAATTTCAAAAACCGATTCGTTCAGATTTACGAATCGGTTCACCCCGTTCACTAAAAAAAAACCGAGTTAAAAAGAACGATTCGTTCGCGGGCAGCGCTTTACAATAGTGACAATGGAAACAGAAAGGATACATTATCCAAAAGGAAAAGACCGATAATTTGTTTGCAAGTTATAATTTTTACTTTAACTTTTGTTTTGCTTCAGTGAGTTTTATTTTCTCTAAAGTTCTCATTTTATGCTTGATGTTAAAAAGGGTTGCTTGACAATATTAGCACAAATTTCATTCCATAGGTTTCCGCCCCCAAATTGTCAAAAGTCTCAGCTTTGAGAGCAGAGATCATCTCGCGTAAGCAACATATCTCGCTCGCATCTGCATGTAGTACTCTCGAGTGTTTGAATTTGTACGGAAGGACACATATCTTGCGAGTGGGTAGTATAACACCTGCTCGTGTGATGTATTTAATTCTTGAGTGTGTTTTATCGCGCTTGCGACTTTTGACTTAGAATGGATTTTTATGGTGTTACATTTTTGTCCTTTTCTATCCTTATCAATTTGCGTGAAATTAAGTTTTTGGATAAAGTTCACTGATAATTCTAACAAAATGACCTCGCAGAATTGGGTTCCTTATTTTAGTCGCCATGGTAACATGCCGCAAAGATACAATGAAGTGAAGGTACAAAAAAACCGAAACGCTAATCTTTCAGATTCTATCAAAATTTGGCCGCCGTTCAAACCGATATGGAGATTGTCTTGAATATTGACTAACAAATGTTAGATACTGCTATCATGTGCTATCATGTGCTATGTGTTCTAGGTCTTCCAGTTTGGCTGTATTACATACAGTTGATGACTGGGTGTTTCATTGAACCTTCACCGTGTGTTTTTAAATAGGTGTAGCACATTTTTAATTCACATTGGCTCATGCATACAGAAATACTGTGGACAACTCTGTGTAAACTACAGATGAAATACGGTTAATTTTATTGTTATATAACTACCAAAATGTTGTGTTGCATAAGTAAAAAATTGATGGTTTTTGCCCTTCTAATATCCCGATGCAAATGTGAAATGTAATTTTAGGACCAAAGTTTGAAAAGGTCCTGAAAACCATCACAGTTGGGTCATTCCATGTCAAATCGTCACACTTTCGGACCTCATCGTCACAGATTTTAACAAAACTTGGCATGCTGATTTGGTCATATGAGTAACTCATGAAACTAAAATTGGGTGAGTCTGGGATCAATATTGAGGGAGATTTATGCAAACAAAATTTTAACTTAATTTGACTGGCTATATTTACCTTAATGTAAGCTGCACAGAAGTGGTCCTTATATTGTTTTAAAGCTATTGTCCAGCTCTATAGATTGAACAAATAATATGCCATCCTCATATGAAAAATTGCTAATGTAACAACCGATTAAAATATAAAAAATTCAATAACAAAAAAACCTATATTTCAAAATTGATAATTTTTTTACTAAAGCTTGATCATAATGTTATGAACATCTCCAGAAAATTTGGTCTTTGGTTTTTAAGGTGTTGCTGAGATATCATTACTTATCTGAAGTGTGTATCAAAACCACAATTCCTTACATTGCTGTTAGCAGTAACAGAATAGCAGTTAGTGATCAATGCATGGTAAAGGGTTATTTTTCAGGGTTATATATTCTACTATTGCCAGAACTAGCTGTAGAAATATAATTTAAATTGATTTTACAAAACACCTGTTTTTGAGTTCACTGGGTCTGTATGATAATTTTAGCCAATGGACATATTTTTCCTATAATGATAAGGTGGTCTGGGTTCCCCAGGGTTAAAATGAATAAAAAGACAATATTGCCAAAGTGACTGAAAAAAAGAGAATTAATGGTACAATCAGAATAGTTTATTTTCCTCTTTAGTTTACACTTTTGACTAGACACTGTCCTACTAAAAAGGGCCTTCATTTGTCAAAAACCTGAAAAACTAACAAAAATAAACTAGATTGGCTTTTAGACTACTAGGGCAAGGAAAGAATTTCAATGTAATAATGCATAAGTTACATACAAGCAGTACTGTTTAAGGGGAAGGTGGGAATGTAAGAACATAAACAATTGCCATACTCTCAATTTATAGTCCATCAGAGCCTTTGATGCAGCTATTGTGTCTTTGCTTGAAATTGTGTATGTCTGCCCTGTTGCTGTCACAGGTTCAACTACTAAAAGCACATCCTGATGATCCATAACAAGTCTATCAGGATAGCATGGGAATGAATAGGATGGAGATGGTCCATGAGGATGTAAAAAGCTCAGTCTCAACTCTCCAGTGCTGGGAATAATGTCTTCAACACATCCTAGCCACCAATTATCATCATATGCAGCCACGACATAACCTTTGATGCTTGCAAAGTTGAGTGATTCCCTAAGTGTGCACTTACACTGGACCGATTTGCACACCTCACTCGTGTCTGATGAATGCAGGGCATTTATTAGCCATATTTACTAGCCATGTGAGCCTTTGCAATAGTATGACAAGTACAGGTGTCTGCAATGACATTAATGAAGCATTCATTAAATTTCATTGTAGCATATTTTTTAGGGATGGCACGGTTCATGAAAAAAAAAACGAACCGTTCGGTTCGCTTGTCTCGGTTCGGCTGATAAATGGGGATCACGGTTCGACGGTTCATGACATGCGCAATGTAGCCTCGTGCCCCGTATGTGACGTCAGTG